ATTTGGAAGGGCAACTAGCTCGTTGGTTGGAAAAACTCCAAGAATACGACTTCGAAGTACAACACCGGAAAGGAGAATCTCACAAGAATGCCGATGGATTGTCCAGACGACTATGTGAGACTTATGGGTGTGGATATTGTGCCAAGGTCGAGATAAAGAGTACGTCTGAAAACGAGAAAATGGTTGCACGACTTATATTCCAAACAGAAGATCTGGGAGAATGGCGTAAAGATCAAGAAGAAGATCCTGACATTGCCGTTTTTATTCAGGGAAAAATGAAAGAAACACGACCATCTCGTTCTGAATTCGTGACTCGTGACATTTCTGTTCAAATTTATTGGACTTATTGGGATGCATTAATTCTTCAGAATGGAGTCCTTTACAAGAAGTGGGAAGCTCCGAATTTGAAGTCTAGTTTTCTTCAATTGATTGTTCCTCGAAAGCGAGTTAAACAAGTCCTTGAGGAAGTACATGATTCTCCGTTCGGAGGTCATTTTGGTGTAAACAAAACCTTAGAAAAGGTACGAAAACGCTTTTATTGGGCGACTTACAAGCAAGACATTGAAAATTGGTGCAGATCTTGCAAGGTCTGTATTTCTAAAAAGGCCCCACAGGAAAAGGAAAATCTCCTATGCAGATCTATAATGTCGGAAGTCCTTTTGAAAGAATTCAAATGGATATCCTAGGTCCACTTCCAATAACTTTTTCTGGAAACAGATATTTAATTGTCATCGTAGATTGCTTCACCAAATGGGTAGAAGCTTTTCCCCTGAAGAATATTAGAGCAAAGACAGTGGCAGAAATCTTCATTTATGAGTTTATTTCAAGACATGGAGTACCTTTAGAAGTACATACCGATCAAGGGAAGAATTTTGAATCGAAACTGTTCGCTGAAATAATGAAGCTTCTCGGAATTAGGAAAACGCGAACTACTGCGTTGCATCCTCAGTCTGATGGTCAGGTCGAACGACAACATCAAACAATAATCAATTATCTAGCGAAGTATATTTCACAAAATCAAAAAGATTGGGATCGGTGGATTCCCATGTTTCTTCTAGCTTACAGATCTTCAAAGCACGAAACCACTGGGATGACTCCTGCGGAATTATATTTCGCTCGAGATCTAAGACTTCCAGTGGATCTATTGCAAGGAAATGTTCCTAGATTAGAAGAAAAAGAGCCGTCTTCGATAGAAAATTTCGCTAATACTCTCAAAAGAAAGTTAAATGATATCCATTCCGAAATTAGAGACAAGATGAATATTAGATCTTCTAGGGTGAAGAGTTGGTACGATAAGGGAGTTAGACAGATTCTTTTTCAAGAGGGAGAGAGAGTCTGGTTTTATAACCCTCGAAGAATTAAAGGTAGAGCTCCCAAGTTACAGAGTAATTGGGAAGGACCTTTCTCTATTGTAAAGAAATTCAACGATGTGGTGTACTGCATTCAGAAGACACCCAGACATCGGAAGAAAGTAGTGCATGCAGATAGATTAGCTCCATTTTTAGATAGAAATATTGATTGTTAATTAGAAATAGTACAAAACTCAAATAAAGATTGCTAGAATTGGAGAGTTGTGTTTGTGTGTATATTTGTAAGTGCATTTTTTTAATTGGTGAATTTATTCTGCGTAAGGAATGTTTTCTTTTCTAGTTGGAAATTTTTAAGAAGAGGCTTGCCTGAGTTTTTGTTACAAGAGAATTCTCTGAGGAAGTTCCTGCGACCATTACTCATCGAGGGCAACTGGCTCCTTTCAATTGAGAAGACCGTCTCATCTTCAGAAGATTGGTCATTTGGTTCATCACGTTGAAGACTGTCCCTCTCGTGGTTTTTGATCCGTGGTTTTCCCACGAGACTGAGGGCAAATGCCGGGACAGAGACTTAGGGTGTTCACGAGGAACGTTGGGTCCACGGAAGATATTCCCCCCTTTGTCTGAAGATTCATGGACCATTTCGTTATCCTTCCGGGAGACGGCGAGTATAGTGAAACCGCGAAGACAGCAGGGATATCTTCTATCAACTCGACTGTTATGGGAAAAATCTGGCCAATTTTTCTTCAAAAAAACAGTTCGAGTACGGAGAGGAGGAGGGCGAAGCTCGGTAACCTGTAGCAGCAGCTAAGGGAGAGCAGGATTCGTCCGGACAGTGTAGACGCGAAAGGAGAGGGACCAGGCGTTTCGTTCGGTAACCTGTAGCAGCAGCTAAGGGAGAGCGGAGTATCGTTGGTGCCCTGATAGCAGCGTCAGAGTCCTAGGTCTTCAATCTCCGTGAGAATTGTCGGGACGACAATTTTGAAGAAGGGGGGCAGTGTTGCGCCCCCGTGTTACGCCCCTGGATCTACATCTTTGTATCGGGTGATACTTTTCGCGGGATCAACTCTTTACGCTTCCGGGAGATCGTCGTCAAGGGAGTTGTTGTTAAACAACTAAGGGTCTTCTTCTGTTTTCGGGAGACATGACAGTTTTGGTCTAGCGGTCGCATCGTGCGGACGTTTTCCGAGACCGGAGCTTCTTTGCATTACGAATGCACTATTTGTTATATTTCATTGGTTTCGTGTATTGGTTCCTCATATTAAAGTTCATTTCCCTATTATGCGAGTGTCTTTATTTCGCGCGCGAGTGAGAGTGACTGTGTGTGAGTGACTGAGCGAGAGGCGTCCCGAGGACGCAACAATACTTTTTGCACTCAATCGCTCATCAATTATCTCTTTATGTTAAACTCTATAAATTATAATTTATAGATGTCGATCGCAGCACATATAGTCTAGACACAAAGACACATCGAATCATATCGTCTTATTTGTTTTACATTTTGTATTGTAGAAGCTCGCTAAATACACGATGTGACTTGCATAGAATCGAGCTGCAAACTAATTGACTGACTCGCGTCGCTCTCTTATTTATTCTTTTCCAAAATCGGTTTATCGGAAAATAAAACAAACCACTATCCGGCAGCCGGCAGTTATCTCTGCCAGCGTTCTCATGTTACGTCGCGCGCCGTCGAAATCTGCAGTTCGCTTGTCGCTTAAATCAAAGTCGCGTGCATTTGCGCTTGACAGGAAGTGTGTGTTTAAAATAAAAGTGTTAACAATGAGCTACAAACATAAATCAGGAGCACAAAAGAGGAAGGAAAAAGAAGAGTGGGAAAAAAACCTTAAAGATGCATCAAAAAAACAACTTTCCTTGTCTAGATTTTTAAAGCTTTCTACTTCTCAAGCTGCAGCTTCATTAGAGCTTTTTTCAACGTCAAAACCTTCGACATCACATAAAGACAAAATTCAGTCTGTTTGCGTTGATGCTGATACTGATAATCATACTCTTCCAAGTAATTTAACATTAATGTCTTCAGCATCGCCAATCACTGAGACTGAGACATATTTCGATGTAGGATCGCGCACCTTTAACATTGATATTGATATTAAAAAATCGCACGAAAAGTTGCCTGAAAATTTTCCAGAAGATAATACAGGAAGTGTACTGCTGATCTCCATCTTTAAGAAGAAACTAGCAAATGATGAATTTGTGCCTAGAGATTGGTTAATATGGAGTAGAACAAAGGAAGCTCTCTATTGTCTGCCATGCAGAATTTTCAGCAAACTTCCACAATCTCAACGATCAGCTTTAACATCATCTGAAGGTTATTCCACTACACAAAAGTGGAAGAAATTACATGACAAAGTTCCTGAACATGAGAGAAGTGCTTCGCACAAGAATTGTTACATTGCATGGAAAACAGAACAGAGGAAGTTGAAAATGGATACTTCATTGAGTGATTTATTGTTTAAGTCTATACAACATGAGCAAGAAGTGTGGAAAGAAATCTTAAAGTGATTATTTCATGTAACTTTGTTTCTATGTGAGAGAGGTTTGGCTTTTCGCGGAGACAGTAATAGAATTGGATATCTTTCCAATGGTAATTTTCTTGGACTTCTCGAACTTTTAGCAATATATGATCCGATCCTAAATGACCATCTACGGAAAGTGCGCCACTCCCAAGAAACCGGTACAAGACTACAGGTACACTATTTATCAGCAGATATTCAGAACGAGTTTATATATATCTGTGCAGTCGAAGTAATAAATTATATTCTTCGAGAACATGAAAAGGCAAAGTATTTTGCAATAATTGTGGATGCAACCCCAGACTCTGCTCACATTGAACAAACTGTATTTTTAATAAGATATGTAAATTTGATCAATAAAGCTGGAGGAATCTATAAAGTTAAAGAGCGTTTTTTGACATTTGCTGATTGTTCTCAAAAAACAGGGGAAGCCATTACCCAGCTTATAGTATCAAAACTTGAGCAATTTAAAATTCCTTTGGCAGATTGTCGAGGACAAGGCTACGACAACGGCAGCAACATGAAAGGTACTTATAAAGGAGTGCAAGCGAGAATACTGGCTCTCAACAATCTAGCGATCTATTCTGTCTGCGCCTGCCACTTTATCAATCTTTGCGGAGTGCATGCAGCTGAGAGTTGTAGTGCTGCCCTTACATTCTTCGGAGTTGTACAAAAATTGTATAATCTATTTAGTTCCAGTCCCCAAAGATGGGAAATATTACAGAAGAAAATAGGTCACTCTCTGCACTCAACTTCTAAAACTCGCTGGTCTGCCAGAATCGAGAGTGTAAAACCTTTTGCTGCTCATCTCCCAGAAATAGCGGAAGCACTAAATGAATTGTCATGCCTCAACTTATCAGCAGAGTCTCAACGTGACGTCAATGGGCTCAAGAATTATGTACGGACATTCAAATGTATAGTCATGGCATCAATTTGGGTAAAAATTTTAAAACCTATTGACATAGTCAATAAAATAATTCAGGCTTGAGGGACAACAGTTGATGTTGCTTGTAAAAATTTGAGTAGCTTAATAGCAGAGTTGCAAGTTTTACGTAATGAAGGATGGGAGAATATTTTGAATGAAGCTGTCATCGTGGCAAAAAATATCGGATAGCCAGAATCTTTCCAAGAGGAAACAAAGAGGGGTCGTAAGCAAAGAAGAATGGCAGACGAAGAAGAAGATGAAGACGGAGCAGGACAAGTAACTGCAGATGTGACATTCAAAAGAGAAGTCTTCTATGTTATTTTAGACCAAGTGATTGAAGACCTAACTGAGCGCTTTAAATCTATGCAAGAGCTTTGTGAAAGCTTTTCCGTCCTTTGGGAAATACGCTTTATGTTAAACGATGAAATTGAAAAACGAGCAACTAATCTGGTGGACAAGTATTCTACAGATCTGCAGTATGAGCTTGTGGACTTGAAAACCGTTTACGTTGCAAATTTCGGCGAAGAAGCTCTACAACCTTTAGAACTACTGAATGCTCTTCAAAAAACGAATCTTGCTTGTTTGTTTCCTAATTTGTGCATTGCTCTCCGCTTCTTCCTAACAATTCCCGCAACAGTGGCTAGTGCTGAGAGGTCATTTTCTACTCTGAAGCGAGTTAAGAGTGTTCTGCGTTCCACCATGTCTCAGGATAGGCTATCCAGCCTGGGTGTGTTGGCTGTGGAAGCTGAACTCGCGAGACAAGTCAACATGAAAAGTTTAATTAATGATTTTGCTTCAAAAAGGCCAGAAAATGCAATATTTGAATAAAGTCATTGTACAATATGTGTAATAATGTAAGCCAGCTTGTCTAATGCAAATTGTAGGGAGTTTTGCCTTTTCCGTGTGCAATGTATTTATATACGAGTAAATATATATTTTATTAGTAGTATTTCGTATTTCTTATTAATTTTCACCGACTGTACTTTGTGAAGAGTTTTCTACCGACTTCTACAGTTTGCTTTGATGACAAAAAGAATCTTTTTTTTATAATTCGTAAAGAGTTGCTTTTCAAGGAGGGACAGTAACTTTAAACGACATAATGTCAAATCAAGACATAAGGCATTCTAAAAACGTAATAAAAATTTTTTTTAAAGACGTCTTTAAGACATCTTAAGTGATGTCTCGATTTATGATATGTTGTCTGAGATAGTAGCCCTGGGGCCCGGCAAACCTCTCGGCGGCCCTGTACGCACATGTATGTATATATTTTAGTTTTAAATCAGAAATAGGTTAAGTTATATCTGCCAAAAGTGCACCCCCTCTCCGCTCCTTAAGAGAGAAAAAACCTATTGCGTCCATACATCAGAAGACGCGGTAGTGTCTCGCTAAGTATATCTTTTTTTAAATTCAATCAAAAGGTATCGAAAATATAGAGAAAACATCGAGAGAATTTGAAAAAAACTGAAAGAACGCTACTGGGTATCCTTTACCGGAACTAACACAATTTCGTGAATATTTGAAACAATGATTTAAAATATCTAATGAACCGGAACATGTTTTTCAAAATATGGCCATATTATCGAAAGCGTGAATTTTTCCGCGTAAAATAACATCGACGAAATTGATAATTGCACTGATTGCAAAAATATAAATCTTTTTAGAAATTTTTCGGTCAAAAATGTGTCACATTTTTATTAAGATACGTCGTCGGACTTGTCCTGCCGCCATCTTGTCGAAATGGGTGACAGCCAAGGCAAATGGTTGCTTAACCTCACGCTTTCTCACGCCCTCTCACCCTTTCCTATCCTCTCCCACTCTCTTGCACCCTCTTGAACCTATTCCATCCTATCCCACCTTTCCCCACCCACGTCCACATCCATCCACACTCACCCTCTCCCACCCACTCCTACCCACACAACAAGACATTATAGACGTAAAAAAAGCTGAATATCTTTCACCATCAAGTTCTTTACAAAAATTAGTCGCTATCAAATATATCTTATCAAAAATTACGTTTATAGCCAAAATAATTACTTGCAAAAATTAATATATATTTTAATAATCTCAAACCAAGAGATACCGTTCCAAAGAATTAATTTTTCGTGCTTGGGCTTTATTGGCCGATTTAAAATATCATATTTATATTAATCTTAGCTATTAAGGTTTTTTAATTAAAACAAAACAAATCTAAACACGGCTTATAGAGCCAAGCGCAAGATGTAGGAGCGCAAAAAATAACACAATAACTTGTACTATAAACAAGTTTATTTAGTATAAACGTTTTGGTCCTTTCTTTGGACCATCTTCAGTATAATAGGAACATAAAGTTACAAACCATAATGAAGAAACTGTCTGATCATTTGCAAACTCTCAAACGCATTACGTATAGTGGGCCTTCCAAACTTCCACCAGCCGGACAAATATCACAGAATAATGAGGTAGTAATAATACCTTCAAAGGTAACCCATACTGACTGTAGCTAGTAAGCCTTTCTCATGGGAGACCCACTACCCACACAGACACAACACACATACCCGCACGCTACCTAACTCGGACGCGTCCGGCGCACAAATAAGGCACGAAAACAAGATGTGCGATTATTTATAGGTTGTTGAACAACGGTTCATTGCCCTTTAGGAGAGAATCAAACCTAAATATATAAAAGCCTCACTAACAAGTTTATAGCCTTGTTTTATGACTCTAAGAGAATTTGTAATAACCGTAACCAAGGTCTGAATTTCAATGAATTTAAGGCATATTTGTAACAATGGATATATAAGCCTGATGTTAGGCACTCAGTGTCTCCTGACGATTTAAACCGTTTTTCTGACGCCTAATAAACAACATTTCTGCAATAAGTCTCTTCTTTAAGAAAGGCTTCTCATCCAAAATTTCAACATTATCCCAATCAAATTCATGGCCGTCAAGTCTGTGGTCCGTAATAACGGATTTCCGTGTAATATTTCTATAATTATGATTTCTATTAATATGATTTCTATGTTCCTTAATGCATGTTTTTAACTGTCTGCCTGTCTGGACCACATACAACGCATCACAATTTCTGCACAAAATTTTGTACACAACATTATTATGCCAATCTTTAGATATTGTATCCTTATGGACGCAGATGAACGAACGAAGCTTATTCATACCCGTGTAAGACATTTTTACATCCAAATCACGGACCACTTGACCAAACCGCTCAGAAAATCTAGGTACATATGGTATATTGAAATATGTGACGGGCACCGAACAGACATCCGTAACTCCATTATCATAATCAGAGTCCATATTCCGCGCTCTAACAAACAACGTCTTGAGCCGCTCACAAAGCGTATCAAAAATTAAATTTAATGGAAACCCATTATTACGCAAAATGCCAATTACCAGCTCAAGATTTTTTTTGTGAAATCTCGGATGTGACAGCCAAAATGCTCTATCCACTAAACCAAGAATAGTGCCTTTCTTATAGCAGAGAGGGTGACAGGAGTAGAAATTCAGGTATCTTCCCGAAAACGGTGCTAGGATCAAGATTCGGGACAGGATTGGTTTATGGAACCAATCAAATTCAATAAAACCTTCATTCAAGATGAACGTAACATCCAAGAAATCCAGTCTGTCGCCCGTCCTCTTCTCGATGGTAAATTGTAAATCTATCATGATATGCGTTGAAGCGTCTTAATTCTTCCCGACTCGTCGAGAAAGGGATCGCCAATGCAAAATCATCAACGTAACGCACATAGAACGGAAGACCGAAAGGAAGCTCCCCTATCACTCTACTCTCCAAATCGCGCATAGTCAGATCGGCTACTATTGGGGACAGCAAAGAGCCCATGGGCGCCCTAAACGTTTGAAATTTCTCCTCAAATTTTTCTAAAACTTCTTAATTTACACCTTCTCCTCTCCAGTTCATTAGACTACACTGTGGCAAATCCTAGATAGAGTAACATATGAACAAGCTATTCGCTCGGCTAAAGCCAGAACACGAATACAGAAAAACAAATATAATAAAATCAAACCAGAAACCTTAACTCCAATATCCACACATACAGTAAAAAATCTTAGCAGTCAAGCTTTTTCTTCTTCTAAAATTTCTATCCTTGCCAAAGGACTTAATTTTGCCATCACCCCCACTAATATTCCTACGGAAGAAATAATCAGCCAAGTTAAAACGGCTATCTTCCACCTTCCCGCTGAAACAAGCAACAATATTAGAAACCGAATTACTAACGTTCTTCACAAAGCCAAACTTCCCAGTCAAAATATAAGCAGGGAAGAACGACTAGCACTCTGTAGTCTCAAACAGAACAATAAGATTATTGTTCTACCGGCAGATAAGGAAAACACCACAATAGCTATGGATAAAGATGAATACTGCAACAAAATCAAGGCCATGCTCTCAGACCACAATGTCTATAAAAAACTTAAACGCAATCCGACCTCCAGCATAAAGAAAAAAACTTCTTTGCTTCTCAAGAATGCAGGTCTCCCTCCCCAAACAACTAAAAAGCTAATCCCCGAGACTCTTCAGCCCCCAAACTTTATGGTCTCCCAAATATCTATAAAAATTCAGTTCCATTACGCTCTGTTGTTAGCAATATCGGAGGACCCACTTATCAATTAGCTCAGTTTTTTGTCAAACCTCTCCAAACCTTTACAGGACTCAATGATTCTCACATTAAAAACTCAACAGACTTTGTGAGCAAGATTACCAAACTCAAAACAAAACTAATGACATTCTTGTCAGTTTTGATATAGTATCTTTGTTCACGAATGTTCCAATACAAGACACTCTAGATATTATTAAAAATTCTAAAAATATTGATTCAAATTTTTCCCATTAATAGAACATTACCTAATCTCAACCTATTTCCAATTTCAAGGAGAGTTCTATGAACAAACCTCCGGAGCAGCAATGAGATCCCTCATCTCACCTATCATTGCAAACATTTTCATGGAACATTTTGAGAATAAAGTCCTGAAAAACGCACCTCTCAAACTCTCTACATAGTTTCGATATGTTGATGACACCTTTGTCATCTGGAGTTATGGCAGAGAAACGCTTCCTCAATTTTTCGACTTTCTAAATTCCCAGCACCGCAGTATTCAGTTCACATTGAAAATAGAACAGAATAATCAGCTCCCCTTTCTAGACATGTTCGTTAAAAAGAACGAAGACGGCACCTTAGGCCATCAGCCAACAAAAAATAGGAGTTCTCAGATTAATAACTTTATAGCAGTGGAAAAATTCACACATAAGAAAGCGAATCCATTAGAACAAACAAATGACAAGTGATTTGTCAACTTATCTGATAGAGCAATCCCGACTGATGTCATAAATTTATTACAGTTTGGGAATAACTTTAGTCTTCCTATACAAAATAAAAAAAAGATGATACACGAGTTTATCAAAGATATTGTAATTCTAAAAGCATAAAAAATCTTATCACAATACGCAACATCGCGATCCCTCAGTTTACCTATTATTTAAATAATAAATCAAAGAAACAAAAATCATATAAACAAAAAATTACTGGATATGCATAAAAAACGAAACAATTTTGCAAGGATAATCCGGACATCATATTCACCCAGTCAGATAAAAGTAATGTCACAGTGGCTATGAATAGTAAATATTACATCGATAAAGTCGAAGAGTTACTAAATGATAAAAATACTTACGAAATAATCAAAATAAATCCGATAGCTAAGATAGAAAAAGATCTAAATAATTTTTTTAAAAAATGATTAAAAGAGGATATAATCTCAAAAAAAGAATATTATTCATTACATTCGAGTGATTCACTTCTCCCCAAAGCATATAGGTT